TGGAGATGGGCACGCTCCTCTAACTTATTCGTAAGAAACTCTTGGGATGGATTCAGGTCTCAGCATTATTGTGTTCCAAAAATCAGAAAGGAAATTTTGTAAAATGCGTCTGACTCTATCTCGGAACGTCATGCCCTGACAATTTCACTACATGATTAGGAAATTGGCTGATATTCTTTTTTAGGTCGGGCTTTTGGGGGGCCTCTAGCCATGCGTAGGCCGTATTTAAAAACATGGCTAAGGCTTCAGACCACAAGGCTCAGTCGTGTGGAGCTCAATTTCGGGTTCAGGGTACAAATCGACCAACACTGGGCTCAACTTGCACCATCCGAGCCTTGCGGATCGTCTCAGATCTCGAGTTCCAAAGAACAAGCCACGTAGCTCGATGTGCACCTAAGTTCCAAACAAAAGGTATAATGATGAGACCAACACGTGAGAGAAACGTGGAATTGTCTGTTCTCCCAACGTGCATGACTTAAAGAAAGAAACCATCCCTCTCTGGAATTCCATGGCACCGAAAACGTAAAGGTGACCCAGAGACAAAGGAGACCTTCTTTCGCACCTCCGTTCCCAGCATTCCCTTCGAGGCCTGTATATCAAAACGGCACTATTGGAAAAGGCAGTGACCTACCTTTTAATATGCAGTGCTGTAAGTGCTATGAATAAAATAAGAAGCAATGTATATGCGGTAGCGATTGAATTGTTTATGCACTCAAACAGTTGCCTTGAAGGATAATAAAAGTGAGCATGAAATGAAAGGTTCATGCAGGTCTATGAGCAAAACAAAAACAGAAACCCAGGAACCAGCCCCCCTACCCACCCCCCCAGCCTACCCTGCCCTCCCAGCCACCCTGCAGCCCCCCCCGCCCCGCCCCCGTGAGTTCTTCCTGTGGGCTTAACACCCTTCTGTTTGGAAGACCTACAGGCTTTATACATTCACCTGGTGGCTCATGAAGACCAGAAACACTGTCATAGAAAGAAGCTCTCTGAATATTCTGAATCTCTAAAGCAGAGAGACAGCAAAAACAGGAGGACAGAAGAGCAAATACACAAACACTTCAGTTAGTGTGAGAGACATTCGACATCACAAGGCAACTTTGAAATCGGGCTGCGACCATAGCTAGTCCGGTGCAGAGCCCATGCGACATTACTGTGCGGAGAATTCTGCCCGTTCGGACACAGTTCTTTATAAAATAAACTTAGGCTGCATCACAAAAGAGCCCCTCCCCACTTGGATGCAAGTGTGAGCATCGAATCGTATCAGTGCTACGTGATTACCCCCCTGAAAGCGCAGGAGGAAATTTAAGGGTACTAAGGTGCTACTGGAGTTGTCCTTCATAAAATCATCCTGCAGTTAGCACATCAGGACGAGACTGCGGAAGTCCGGGCACTCTGCTCTGTACGTTAGTGGCTTTTACTGTCCAAAATCCACACTGCTGTCTACTTTGGTGTCCAATGTGGACTTTGGCAACGTAATTGACTTCAAATAGAAATTAGTAACAGATAGGTAACTATTCTTAAGGAAAATAAAATTCAAGTTTTGCAGCAAAATGTTAAAAAACGACTTTAAATCATAAGGTGACACTTGTTGATCATTCCGTTACCCATGAATATACCTGAGGAGGCACATTTACATGAAAATGCAATTGTTAGCTCTCCCCCGCCCCCCCCCCCCCCCGCCATATATAAGCCCCGAGACGTGGCAAGGAGACTGTGCAACTGGTAGAGAAATCCCGGAACATCTTAGCAAACAGTAGGGCTCTATGAATCTCTAGGGCAGGGCTGCCACCCGAAATCTTAATGCTCCCGGTTTGGCCTTGAGAGAACTGTTAAAACCCCCAAAGTCATTTCAACCCAAAATGGTTTATACCCTGGGGACTGTGCCTTCACAGGCAAATTATATCCACGCATCCTACTTTCCTGGTCAGCTTGTCACTTCTCTGCTTCTGCACGGATGCAAAATAAGGAGATGTTTTTCCAGGGCTAGTTTCTTTTCCTACAGAGCAGCTCCCCGTAGCCCAAGACCGAGCAGTGGTGGATTTTCCACCCCAGAGCCCTCGCCACGCTCCGTGCCTGCCGCTGACTCTGTGTATGAAACACGCAGCCCTCGACACCGGACAGACTGCCCTGGGCCCCGAAGATCGGCCCCCCTTCTCCGCGATCCTGTCACTCAGATGTGGGCACCGGCCACCTCAGAGGACGGGCGACAGGACTCCGCCCGTGGTAGCCATGTCGGGGCAGCAAACTCGTGGGACTGGCCCAGAGCAGAGGTGATAGCGTGGCCGAATCACGCTCGGGCAGACAGGACTGCTCCTGGCCTATCCTGACAAAGGGGGGCCACACTGGCTCCCCAGCGGCTACCTGGAGAAAATCGCTACCGTGGGGGCAGGGGGGCCCGAGCCGTGGACTAAGCTCGGACGCATGGGGCTCGGGCCAGGACCGGAGGAGCCCGCAAGGCCGCTAGCCTTTGGGTAAGCAAGTCAGGGACGTAACGTCTCCGCCGATACAGAAAGCGCGGAAGGCAGGGAAGGACGCCCCAGACGTGGTCCCACCTGTCAGACACCTCACCCGGGCTACGCGGTGGGCATGGACCCCTGCGGCCCGTGCCCGCCACATCTCACCCTCCTAACGCGGCTGACCCACCGCGGCTGCGGGCTCCCGGGAGGGCTCCTCCGGGGCGGGGGCCGGCCAGGCGCAGAGGCAAAGGAGAAGGACGGAAGGAGCAAGGCCAGGAAGGAAGCCGGGGGCCGAGACGGAGGCTCGCCCGTCCTGCTGCGGGGGCTGTGTGCGTCCTGAGTCTCCGGCTGGGCTGCCAGCTCGGGGGGGGGGGGGGGAGGGGGGGCAGGGGAACGTCCCGCATCGCCCCCCGATGGACCCCACCCATCGCGACCATGGCGAGCCCACGGTGAGACGGTCTCGTAGAATGGGTCAGGGGCTTCCCACGGTATCGTTCTCGGTTAAGAAATTTAAAGATGAGTCAAAAATGGTTCACTATAGCAGAACCAGGATGTTAGTCCAGGACCTAACGCCTTTGGTAATATGGTCCTTTCTTCCTCCGCTACCTGCTTCTCTCATTCACGAGGAAGAGAGAGTGCGTTTTTGAGGCTTCCTCTGTCCCCCGCTCCGTGGGCATTCCTTCCACGCCCGCTGCCCCCTCCTCGGCCACCTCGCACTCAGCTCCCCACTCTGGGCCCTTCGCCCGGATCCAGGCCAGACTGCTGCCTGTGTGCCTTCCGCTCCGCCCCGGGGCACTGGCCGGCTTGCACACGGGCCAGTTACCCCCGCTGGTGCCCAGGGGTGGGCACCAGCGTGGGTAACTTCGGTCTAGCAGCAGGGGGTGTAACTTCGGGCCAGCACGCGGGGGTGTGACCAGCAGGCGGGCTTCTCCAGGGGCCTGGCCTGGCCTGGCCTGGCGGGACCCCCCCCCCCCGAGCCACCCTCACTTCGGAAAGCGCTCCCCACCTTTGCAGCAGCTCGGGCCCCCGGGACGTGCTCAGTCAACGCCAGCCTTCGCAACTCGGCGAACCGTGATCCGTCAAGGACCAGGGCAACCGCCTCCCTGTCCCCGACCAGCTGCCTCGGCACCCCGGGCAAGAGGGACACCCTCCTCTAACACACGCCGCTGAACGCTCATTCCGTGCCGCCCGTGGGGCATTCGTCACAGCTGCGGCCGGCACTCCTCAGTTTGTGCGCCCCTCCGTCTCTCCCCTGTGCTCGGAGGTCTGGCGGGAGCACTGGGACGAGCGGAGGGCCCAGCGCCCGGCAGGGTCGCAGCTGAGGGGACGTGTCCCTCGCACCTCCCCCCGGCCAGTGCTCAGCAGTGCTGGCCTTTCTGGCACCGTGGGCCCTGTGACAGCCGGTGCTCTGAGAGCTCTTGTCCACCCTGGTTCCGGCGTCTCACGTCCCCGTGCCACCGCTTCCGACCACGGCGTCGGGGGGCCCTCGTCTGTCCAGAGGCCACCGGTTGCCCTCCTCAGAGCTCAGGCTGCCCCCTCGACTGCCCGGGTCACCGTGCTGACAGGGGACGCGCAGCATCTGGTCGGAGACTCGCGTCCGAAAGCACGAAGATCACCTAACCTTCCCCCAAGTCCCTCCCTTCAGGGTCTCAGGCGGACCATCTCTTCCGGGGACCCCGTGTGCCTGCCGCCCACCCGTGCAGGCCCAGCGGATGCACACGACCGCTCCTCATGCGAGCGGCCCTTCGCCCTCCACACGTTCTCAGCGTTCACTCTGCTCTGTCCCTCCGCCTCCGCAGCCCTGACCCCTTCTGTGTCGCTTCCTGGGTTTCTTTCTACCCCCGAGAAGCTGGCTAGGTCACAAGGTCCGCAGATGCTACGGAAAAGGCAGAAGCGAGCCAGGCTCCCGAAGAGGCCTGGACCGGGGCCGAGGGCCTACCTGGCCCGAGGCCACGCGAAGAAGGGGGACCCGACCGAGATGACACAGCAGTGAGCGCAAAGCTCCGGAAGACACCGCCTCCCGCTGTGCACAGACTCACGGATGTTGTTCTGCGGGTCCTAATACAACCTAGTCTGCAACCGAACAGCCAAACTCCGTACCTGAGGCTCACGTAAGCAAAACAACCGTGGGGACTGATGGAAAGAAAAACTGATCTCTGTGCAGGCTCTCGAATTTATTCAGCGGCCACTGTGCGTGTGAGTGGAGGGCCGCCCCTGGAGCAGACGCAGCTCAGCTGAGCTGTGGGACACAGAGAGCGCATGCGGGGCTTCTCTGGACTTGTGCCCGGTGGCCCGGGACTACAGCCCAACTGGGCCCTAGAATGATCCACACCTCCCATGGCATCTGACCAAGAAGGCAGATGTCCTGGTGCCCAGGGGTGGGCACCAGCGTGGGTAACTTCGGTCTAGCGGCAGCCCTGCTCTAGGGAGAGCGACTTTTACAGTAAAATCTCTGGACACAGATCTACGTAGACGAACCATCTAGAAGTCTCAACTGGAAAAGCTTCCGGTCAAGCGTCACTGCAAACGTGAGCGCGTTCTTACCGTCCTTCCAAAGCTCTGCCACGAATCTGTCCGAGGACTGGTGCAGGAGGGTGGCCACGTTGTCGTTCAGGGGGTCCATGTTCTTCATCAGCCACTCGTCGGCCTTGTAGTCCACCTGGCCCATTGGGGCGAGATGCAGAAACACACACAAAAACGGGACACTTTCAGCCTTCCCCCAGAATGTTTGCGGGACCACCGGACGAGTGGGTGGCCTCGGGGGCCACGCATTGGTCACAGGCACGACACGAGGGCTCACGCACGCACGCGTCTCCGCACGGGACACAGCAGGATTTCCAAGTCTGGGGAGCGGCCGCTCGTCCCTTACCTTGCCCGCGTAATGTATAATGCAGAAGTCAGCTTTGTCTTTCAGCTGCCGGGGCTTCTGGAACTTGGAGTGAGAGCCTTGCTCCTGAACTAGTTTCTCCACAAAGGTTTTGTCCGTGGCCTTCGGGAACCAGCACTCTTCGTCCAAAAGGGCCAGCACGCCGGGGGGGTTCGCCTGGGAATGAGAGGCAGCGAGAGTGGACAAGCCGCGCCCCCGGGAGCGGTGGACCGTCTACAACGACTAAGAGTTTTAGGAAGATCCGCGGAAACCGAAGCGCCAGGGCAGCAGGTAACGGACCAGACCCAGGGCGCAGGCGGGGGTGTGGAGCTGCTGACCAAGGGGGGAGTCGCTCACTCTGGAAAACGGACGAACCTGTAAACTGTAAGTGAACTCACTGCACGCGGACGGCCCCCAAAAGCAGCCACTGAGAGACCCCAGCAAGGAGCCGGGAGGTGGGGACATGGAGCGGGACGCTTCCATTCAGGGACTGGCCGGGGAAATGATCCTAAGACCTCCACCAGAACAAACTCTGGTTGCTGGGGGCGGGGGGTGCACGAGAGGAAGGGGAATTTTTAAAAAAGAAAACCAGAACAAAAGCACCCCTCAGCTAGATGGAAGGCTTCCAACACCTTACATCCTAACCGATCTCGGTTCCTGTTTAAGGGACAACGAAATAAAATGTGTCCCTTCACGCTTGGCCCAACAGCGGAACCAGAATCCGGGACAGAATATAAAAGGTGGGGTAGTGATTTATCAATTCTTGTATGGATTTATTTCGGCCAACGCTTGCGAGCAAGGCTGTTTCATTTCACTTGGCTAGGTCCCCGCAGAAAGACCCAGAAAGCACGAGAGAAAGTGGATTTGGACTCTGAGAGCAGGCTGCCACCACTGAACGGGTCCCGTGAGCGTGGACCGTAGGACACGCAAGTTACGGCTCGGTACAGAAAGAGAGCGTTGAGCCCCTGCATGGACTTCCCTTGTGGAGGTGAGTGGAGGACGCACGAAAGCGACATGAACAGTTAAATCGTGAAGGCCTAGGTCACTGCGTCTGGGTCATCCCTCACGGTCACCCCACAAGTATGGCGAGGCGGTGAGACAAGACTCAGGGCAGTGACTCCAGGGCGCACCTACGAAATCTGCGGTTCTTTAACTCATGCAGTCTTTACGTCCACTGGGGAGGAGCCGTCTCTACACAAATACTGCTTAGAGCACCCAGAGTCAGCGTGACCATCGGTCAGGGGAAGGCGGCGGCCGCACAGATCGCCAGCAGGCAGAAGCTGGGGGGGTCCTGCGATGAGCCCCAGGTGGCTAACTGCTCCACGGCTCCTCCACCTACAAGAACCCAAAGGGCTCAGAGCAGCTCAAAGAGCGATGATCAAAGGCGGGTAGGATCAGGCGGTCTTAAGGAAGCCAAGGTTGGAGAGGCAGGTAACTCAACATGCCCCATTCACCGGACTCTGAAGATCCGTATTCACGTTAATGAGGGCACATCTATCTTTCTAGCATGATCCTTACATTTTAATCCCTTTCAATGAAAATATTCGTAAGTTCTGAAACAGGATCCCGAATGTAATTTAATCTTTTCTAAACGGCTCAGGGACAGCATGATTATGAATGTCCCCAGTTAGGTCTTTTTATTTTTGCTACTTCATCCTTCAGTGTCAAGCTCTGTGTTACTGCTTCTCCTTTCACCGGGGATTTCTACAGAGCTGGAAGTCTGGGAGACGGTTTCCATCTGAGGCTGGGGGCAGCATGGGGGCGGGGGGGGGGTCTGTAAGCGGCTTGCTGAGCTTCCCTTCCTGACTGCCAAGGGGTATAGCCAAGTTGTTCATATTTGTTTGAGATCACAAGTGAATGAGTTCTACGTGGTCCTGTGTATTTCTTTCTTTTTCTTTTTAAAGATTTTATTTGAGAGAGAGAAAGAGAGGGAGAGGGAGAAGCAGACACCCCACTGAGTGTGGAGCCCCACTCGGGACTTGATCCCAGGACCCTGGGATCATGGCCTGAGCCGAAGGCAGACGCTTCATGGACTGAGCCACCCAGGCGCCCCAGTCCTGTGTATTTCTGCGTTAAGACTAAACCAAAAGGGAAAGAATGCCTGATGCTTAGTAAGAGTGCTGTAAAAACTGCATCTGCCCAGGGCGCCCGGGTGGCTCAGTCGGTGAAGAGTCTGCCTTCGGCTCAGGTCATGATCCCAGGGTCCTGGGATCGAGCCCCGCGTCGGGCTCCCTGCTCAGCGGGGAGACGGCTTCTCCCTCTGCTCCTCCCCCTGCTCGTGCTCTCTCTCACCCTCTCAAATGAACAGATTAAAACTAAAACAACAAAAAACATGTGCCCCCCAAACCCCTGAAACTTCAAATTAGAAAAAAAAAAAAAAAGCAGACAAAATAAGAACAGCTTTATGCTCACAAGGATAAGCTTTAGTTATGTGAAAAATGAGTCTGGATGCCATGTCCCGCTCCCAGCCGAGTGCGCCGGCCCATGTGGCCCTGGCGGGGGGGTTGGGGGGGTACAGGGGACTGGGCAGGGAGGGGTCAGGGAGGGCGCTGCGGACGCGGACGGTGGTCAGAAAAAGCTTTCTTTTAAAATAGGTATTTTATCAGAGTATCAGCTTCCTACAACATTTATGTTAGAAAATGGTCTTAAGACTAATAGGCTGGGGCGGGGGGGGGGGGCCTGGCTCTGTCAGTGGAGGAAGCGACTCAATCTCACGATTGTGAGTTCGAGCCCCACGCTGGGCGGGGAGCCTACTTTAAGAAAAAGACTCATTGAGGGATGCCTGGGTGGCTCAGTTGGTTAAGCGACTGCCTTCGGCTCGGGTCAGGATCCTGGAGTCCCGGGATCGAGTCCCGCATCGGGCTCCCTGCTCGGCGGGGAGTCTGCTTCTCCCTCTGACCCTCCCCTCTCTCATGTGCGCACTCTCTCTCACTCATTCTCTCTCTCTCAAAGAAATAAAATCTTAAAAAAACAAGAAGACGACTCATTGGGGGGAAAAGCGCCAGAAAGGCCCGGGAGCCCTGCCCACGCAGGACCGCGGCCTTACGGGTCTCTCGATGAGGTCGATGCAGGGCTGCAGGTCGAGGCCGAAGTCGATGAAGCTCCACTCGATGCCCTCGCGCTGGTACTCCTCCTGCTCCAGGATGAACATGGTGTGGTTGAAAAGCTGCTGCAGCTTCTCGTTGGTGTAGTTGATGCACAGCTGCTCGAACGAGTTCAACTGCGGGCGGCCGGGGTTCCAAACATGGGGAGGGAAGGAGAACAGGACCCGTCAGTCACCTTCTGGCAATCAACACAACCCACTGAACGTTCCCAGCTAGGGGCCAGACGGCAGCGACTCCGCGTGACCGGGTGGCGGAGCCCGGGGGCCTCCGCCAGGCCCCGCGTCCACCCCCCGCGGCCCAGGCCACATGACTTCAGCGACACATTCCGAGGAGGAGAAGAGAAAACCCTCGACTCAGTGCGCGACATGCGTGATCTACACATACGGCAACTCCTAAAGTTCCTACTGCTGAATGGATCACGGACAGAAGCAAAGAAGAAGCGAGGAAGGAAGAGGGAAAAGGAAGGAAAACAGACGGGGGAGACCAGGTCAGGCCCCACACGAGGCCTCGTATGTGCGAGGCTCCAGGCCGCCTCTCCACGCGCTGCTTCCCTTAGCAGTGTCCAGGCTGGGTGGTGACAGAGGGGGACCAGGCTCATGGCGGTGAGCACGGAGCAGCGTATGTGTGTCCTGAGTCAGCCTTGTGTGCTCGTTACACTTCAGCAGGAACAGCGTTAGTGTGTTGCCCTCGGCCTGAGCAGCTTCCCCGTGTTGGACACTGCTGTTTCCTCCTCGGCGAACTCTGCCCACTTCTCTACTAGGCTGCTGATGGGCTGGAGGGCTGGAAACGTGGAGGGGTGGAGGGGTGGAGGCGTGGAGGGCTAGAGAGATGGAAGGGTGGAGGTGTGGAAGGCTGGAGGGGTGGAAGGGTGGAAGGATGGAACGGTAGAATGGTGGAGGGGTGGAGAGATGGAAGCATGGAGGGGTGGAAGGGTAGAGGGGTGGAGGGGCTGAAGGATGGAAGGGTGGAGGGGTGGAAGGGTGGAGATGTGGAGGGGTGGAGGGGTGGAGGGGTGGAGGCGTGGAGGGCTAGAGAGATGGAAGGGTGGAGGTGTGGAAGGCTGGAGGGGTGGAAATGTGGAGGGGTGGAGGGGTGGAAGGGTGGAAGGATGAACGGTAGAATGGTGGAGGGGTGGAGAGATGGAAGCATGGAGGGGTGGAAGGGTAGAGGGGTGGAGGGGCTGAAGGATGGAAGGGTGGAGGGGTGGAAGGGTGGAGATGTGGAGGGGTGGAGGGGTGGAGGGGTGGAGGGGTGGAGATGTGGAGGGGTGGAGGCGTGGAGGGCTAGAGAGATGGAAGGGTGGAGGTGTGGAAGGCTGGAGGGGTGGAAATGTGGAGGGGTGGAGGGGTGGAAGGGTGGAAGGATGGAACGGTAGAATGGTGGAGGGGTGGAGAGATGGAAGCATGGAGGGGTGGAAGGGTAGAGGGGTGGAGGGGCTGAAGGATGGAAGGGTGGAGGGGTGGAAGGGTGGAGATGTGGAGGGGTGGAGGGGTGGAGGGGTGGAGGCGTGGAGGGCTAGAGAGATGGAAGGGTGGAGGTGTGGAAGGCTGGAGGGGTGGAAATGTGGAGGGGTGGAGGGGTGGAAGGGTGGAAGGATGAACAGTAGAATGGTGGAGGGGTGGAGAGATGGAAGCATGGAGGGGTGGAAGGGTAGAGGGGTGGAGGGGCTGAAGGATGGAAGGGTGGAGGGCTGGAGGGGTCTAACTTTCACAAGCCATCACCTTACATATTAGAAGTTCTCCACCTTTGTTCCTGCCTCCATGCTATTCACGAGTAGCATGCGCCCATAAATAACCTTTCATTAGAAAACGGGATCTTCAATTAGGGAATGCGTAATCCATCTCCGAGGAACAGATTTATAGTCTGAAAAAGCCATTCCAATCCTCTCCCCGTCAGGGGTGTTCTAATATTTCAGAAGGAGGTCATGCTCGGAGGGCAGGGGCCATGCTTGCCTTGCTCAGCACCGGATTTCCAGCGAACGGCATCAAGATTTGCAGACGGAGGCCTGCCTGGTGGCGCTTACTCACGTTAGGTAAATGCATCTTGTTCTGCCTTAGGATTGGGAAATCTTACTGCTCTATTTAGCCTGGGCAGCTCTGTGTCATGGCATTTTGTAAAAAATGAGATTTCTACTCCTCTTCCATACTGAAGCTACCAACTGTATTTTTATACCATCCACTCTTACAACGGTAATGCAGAGCACACAATGACAGACGGACAAAGAACTGTGTTGAGAGGTCTCACGTCACCTGCTCGTGACTGTGGTCGGACGGTCACCTGCTTCTCGTGGACCCTTCCAGAGAGGTCTGTGCGCTCGGACGTGTGTGTGTTACCTTGACTTCTTCTTTAAACTTAACGATGTGTCTTGACGTCTTTCCATAGGAGAAAATCAAGCCACCTCCTTCTGTATGACGGGTGCACGGGACCACAGTATGGAGATGCTGTTATTCAGTGAGCCCGCTTCCTAATGGTGGACACTGAGGCTTCTTCCTAAATTCTTTCCCCAGGACAACAATGTTGTGGAATAATCCTGCATTTTTCACTATAATTTTATATTTTTCTGTCTGTATATTCACAGGTCAAAACTACAGTTCTTCAAGTCCTATAGCTTTATCATGTTTGTCTTTTTAACATCCTTTCTAGGATTAGGATAGAATTTTACTATTATTTTTCAGTAGTTCGGTTAGTTCAGTTTTCAAGTTAGTTTTAGAAGGTTCTCGTTCTCCCCCACCCCTTAAAATTCCCATCATCGAGTTTTGAACACGTATGTTCGATTTAGAGATAACGTGGGGAAGATTCACGCCTTTATGATGCAGGGTTTTCCCATCTGAGAACAGGGGATGTTTCCCCATGTGTTCTTTTGTTTCTCACGTAGCACCAGGAGGTTGCCTTCAACTGAATCGTGCCTGTTTCTTCTTAAATTGATTCTTCCGAATCTCATGTTTTTGTTGCAGTTGGAACTGGGGCTCTTTTCTTCCATTGTATCTCCTTTTTGTAGACAAATTTTTTTTTTTTTTAACGTGACGTGTAGCCAGCCACCTTCCATGATTTCTCAAGTTTTTTTTACAAATCAGTACATATGAACGCGATCTCTCATAGCAACAGCTCACTGGATAAGGCTGCTTGGACCGCTGACAGTTCAGGTCTCCTCGGGAGACCGAGCATCTTAAAGGAGTTCATTTTATAGCAAGACAGTTCATCACCCAGTCGTGGCCAAGGGGGGAACACTGATCCCGAGTGTGTAACTTAGTATTTATGCTTGACCATTCGGTCGGTCCATCAAAGAGACGCGTTTTTAGGAGACCAAAAATACATCGTCTTTCTTGCAAAACCATAGCAGACGTGTGTCTACACACCTGTGAGGGATGGATGCAGAGTGTGTGGACAAGTCCAGTCAGAGTAACAGTAAGACGTACGGAGATCATCATGCGGTGCTGCGGCCGGATCTTCGGGACACAGAGCACGATCTGTGCGCAGTTCCCCGTCTGTGCTATTCCTCTCTCCCTTCCGGCAGCCGTCTTAGCCATGCTGGCTTTCTAGCAGTTTCTAACACTTGACAATTCTCTCCCGTACAAGACCACTGGGCTTGCTCTCATTATGCTGGGGGCTTCTCCTCCTCCAAGGAGGCTCACCTGTCAGCGCTGCAGAGACCCCTCCTGGGACCCTGCTTCTAAAGCTACCACCCCCCAGTTCTTCCTCACAGCACCCCTGCCGGATTCTGCTAGAAGGCGGGGATTGCACATGGTACACAGGGAACCGGCATTAATGCTGATTCAAAGAGTAATAAATAGGAGGGCGGGGGGGGGGGGGGGAAGAGGGAGAGAGACAGAGAGACGGAGAGACGTACCTCAAATATTTCAAATCCAGCAATGTCCAGGATTCCGATGAAAGATGCTCCCTGACGCTTGGTCCTGTCCAGAGCTTTGTTGATCCGGTGAACGAGCCAGCGAAAGAGCCGCTCGTACGTAGCTTTTGCCAACGCCTCTACTGCAAAATCTGCCTGTAATTAGACGAAATCAACCTTTTATTCTGCAGACGATCTCAACAGAGCATCACCGGGTGTCACCTGGAGTTTAATATGCTCCCAAAACCCGAAAGAGCATTTGCTACTGAACCCTGTCTCCCTTTCGTATAGCACCGGAAGGTGTTAGCACAATTAAATGTAAACTGGAGGTAACTGGTTTCGGGGAAAGGTGAAGATGCCCAGGAAAAATAAAGCCCTCACGACGCCCCTGGGACTCGGCATATCGGCCCCGACTCCTACAATCTTGGTGCCGGGCCACCCACACGGGGACCAGCGAGCAGCGCGCCCCACCGCGGGTGGACTTCTGAGGCAGACGACCTATTTCCCTGGGGGAACCCGAAGGTGACATTTCACATTTACTTTTTAAACAGTTACCTTTAAAGTTTTTCTGAAAAAGAGAAAACGGAACAACATACAGTACCAAGAACCACCTGTTACAGGGAGCCCTTATTAACGTTTGTTACACGCGGATGGGAAGGTCTCAGGACGACGGCCTGTCATTCAAACAAACGTGTGCTGACGACGCTGAACTTACCTGCTCTTTGGTCTGGGCTTTCTGCACGTAGTCTCGGCCGACCTTGATCCGGGGGGTGAGGATGGCCCGAGTAAACTCCATCACGTTCATGCCCAGGAGATGGCAGAGTTTCTGTGCAACTAGAGTGTGAAAAGCCTCCTAAGCACCAGACTCCCACCTGTGATCTAGTCACGACATACTCAGTAAGAAGCCTTATCAAGAAACGAACTGAGTAAGTCTTCAAGAAGGACAAGGCTCGGGTCTTCCGTCCTCTCAAGTGAATGCCGCTCGCTCTTAGGTAACACAAGACGGGCAGCAGGTCCTTATTCTGGGCAGTTTACCGGGAACCCACGGGGGATGCCCAGGAGGAGGCCTGAGTCCGTGTTTAACGTTTCGAAGCTGGGAGATTTCATATCAAAATCTAGATTTCCTTGAAAAATATTGACAATATTTGGCAACACGGGGCCTGTACTCCCGGCAAGGGAACAATTGTCCAGAATCCTAACCTACAGCCCCCGTTCAGGGGGAGCCTCGTGGGCTCTGCGGCGTGTGGCCCCCGGTGCTGGGGCAGGGTCTCCCCCGCCACCCTGGCTCGTCCCTCCCTCAGGGGCTCACCGGGCGGCCACCCCACTCCACACGGCTCCGAGGGAAGCCTCACGAGCTCGCTTCCATGCACACTGCACCCCGCGCTCGGAGAACACGCGACAAGCCACACACCACTACGAGCAAGACCTGCACTGGTCCGTGTACCTGTATTTTCCGGCATGGACGCCTGATCCGTATTTCGCTCCTTTTTGAAAGAAATATTTCCGAACTGGAGCACTGAAGACACTACTTTAAGCATTGCTTTATGTGGATGTAAAAAGGAAAAAAAAGAAAAAACAGAATTATTGCCTCAAAACGGAGCAGAGACATAGCCTCACTTATTCCGTGCTAAAAAATGCTACACGGACCTCTGTCGGTAAATTCCCGGCTCCCGGGAACTTGTACGATCAGGGGTGGTTCTCATGATTTGCCCGGTCGTCTTCTGGCTCACGTGACCCCCCCCACCCCCCGTGCAAGTCTTATCTAAGGAGCAGCCGACTCGCAGGGAAAGCCCACATACACAGAATCTCCTCGTGAGAGAAGCCCATGATGTGCATCGCCTCCATGGTCTCCTGGAAGTTATCTTTGTCTTGCTGCCCTGGGATGGGGATGTAGCCGTTGGAGAGGAATCTGTAGTTATTAAACCCTTCGAGGAGCAAATCCGCTGGAAGGAAAGAGAACGGGATGCGGTGTAACGTCCCCCCACGGACAAAGCATGCCCACTGGCGCCCGGGGCTGATCGCAGGGGAGCGGTGGCTCGCGTCCTCCCCACCACCACACGCTTCCTGCCACACTTTTTCTTTCTTCGTAGATGCATTTCAAAACCACACACCGTTTTCCGTCCTCCGCGTCAGTGAGGGAAAATGAGGGGGTCAACTAAAAACCGCAATCGGAGTTTTGGGGACAGTGGTTTACCGGCTCCATGAAATCGGTAACCGGGAAATGATGGATGTACGTTTTCCAGGTAACTCAGCCTTACTGTTTTCAGACTTAAGTATGTTAGGCATCTTTTCAGGGAAAGTTTTTAAGCCCTAGAGCCGATAAGCCTATGTTAGCAAAGCAGTTGAAAGCAGACATTACGGGACCAATATGACGACGACATGAACATAAAGACCAGACGTGGACGGTATAGGCCCCCATCCCAGCCAACGCCCCGAAACCCTTTCTCCGAGCCAGTCTGTTGGGCAGGAAGTTTGCCTTCGTGAGTGATGCACCACCTGTATGTACGATGGGCTATTCTAACGGCCGCCCCCGTTGATCACTTGTGTTTTAGGGGCTGTGAGTCAGAACTCAACGTTTGCTTTCGAGAAGTGTGTTCTTCGAGAGGAGCAGGATGTTTCTCAGGGGGGATCAGAAGAGACAGGGCTACTGATTATTTTTTGATTCATTACTAGTGCAGAGTTATTGCCAGTCTGAAAGCCTGAGGTTTTCCTCCTCTTGAGCATCACATACGGTCATCAGCTTGAACGCCTAGTTTCTCATGACAGTGATTCTATTAATTTGTGGCTCATTTTTTTTCCTTGTAGGTCTCTCATTTCTGGGCTCAATGCTTTCACAGGTGTCTGTGGTTAGCAAGAGCCTGGGCCCTGAGTGACAGGAGAGTACAAGGACCGTGTCTGTTGGGATCTCTGGAGAACACACATAATGGTCACATCGAAGGAGCACTGAATTCAAGACTCAGAAGAAATCAGGAAGTTGTGCATCTTCCCCTCGCCCTCAAATACCTCTGATCCAGCAAACTTCTGACCCGGAACTTTGCCCCCAACCAGTCCCTAAGCTTCCAGTCCTTAGGATTCAAGACAAAATAAATAAAAGTCCATTATAAGCTCCTTCTAGTGTTTGTGGAAGCATACAAATATATTTAATTGTAAACCTGGGAATAAAGATACTTACTGAACGTAACTTTATTAATTTATTTTTTCTTACTTTTTATCCTTACAAATGTTGAGACAGAACTTGTGTAAAAATCCATCATTTGTCTTCTAATTTAAAACTTTTAAGTTTTTTTTATCTTTATTTGAGAGCGAGCGAGAGCACAAGCTGGAGGAGGGGCAGAGGCAGAGGAAGAAGCAGACTCCCCGCTGAGCAGGGAGCCCGATGCGGGACTCGATCCCAGGACCCCGGGATCACGACCTGAGCCGAAGGCAGACGCTTAACGGACTGAGCCACCCAGGCGCCCCTAAAAATTTCTTTTAAAGAAAAGAAATAAACATAGAGAAGATAATGTAACACCGCCCACATAACTGCCACTTAAAATCAAGTATTTCTCCCATGGCATGGAAGTTCAATTTCATTTCCATTTTGGGGTGTATACGAAATGACAGTGAACCCCAGGACAAGACAGGAGGAACCGCAAAGGTCCACCCACACACGAGTTTTTCCCGCAGAGTCCGGTTCTGTGAGTGCGTGCTCTCTTCCTTAGGATTTTCTTAGCATTTCTTCCTCCAGTTTGCTTTGTTGTAAGAATGCAGCATATAAATGCATAGAACGTACAAAACACACGTTAACGGACTGGCTGTCCGTAAGCCTTCTCGTCAACAGTTAGCTACAGGTAGTTAGGTTGTGGGGGAGTCACAAGTTATTCGCGGATTTGTGACCGTGTGGGGTGCCAGCCCCGTATTGTTCAAGGCTCGCCTGCACGGTTTCCTCAAAACGTTCTTTTTCAAAAAAACTTAATACAAAAAACCATACTCCAATAAATAAAAAATAGTAAGAAACTTTGTAACTTACATTTTAGGTGTTCTCCTGCTCCAGATAACAACTGGTAAAAGATATGAAAAGTACGTTCGTCTTTTGCTTGACGAACGGCACGAGATTTTTCCAGAAGGTCTGAGTGAAGATGGTTAAGGATCGAACTGAAGAGGTGGCCGGCCCTCCCTCAGTGTCTATACAAATTTAAGTTGTAAAACATTTTCTTCCTCAGATATCTATTAGCCCTCCTGCGATGAACCATTCTGAACGGTTAAAACGTGTCAGTGAAAAAGGAAAATTACGCACTACGTCCCTCGCTCACCTGCGAGGATCGCGGATGGGAGGGAGCTCGAAGATCAGGGTGCTGCCCTCGCCCCACTCCACCCCACCAGCCCCTAATCCCGGTTATAGTCAAAGAACACAGCACAAACCAGGAACTCTAAGAAGCTATAAAAAGAAAGTTGAGCTGCTGAAGGAGGAAAAGCCTTATAGCAATTTATCACAATCTTACAAGTAAGGAAACCAAGGCACAAAGGGAATTAAAATAACACCGCTAGTAAGTTGTAGAGTCAGGAATCAAAGCTCAGTTGGACCCCACAACCCACGCGCTTGGCCCCCGTGCTCCCCAAGAGCTCCTCGTGGAAGGCCTCACGCAGGCGGTGCCGGCCCCTCGACATCCACAGTCTTGCACCAACTTTCCAAACACCGGAGACAGCCCTGATCAGATCAGCCACTGACCTGCTCGTGCTACTTCTCCAGAGCCGGCTGTGAGCCCCCCACCCGGGCTTCCCACATGGCACCTGCCCGCCCCCAACCCGCTCCTGCCTCCCAGACCATGGCACACCTGTCTGGGCATCTGGGGCGCGGATCTGGGACTTCACCAGGCTGAATTAATTTTGTATGTGCCAGATAGCTTTAGATTTTCAATTAGATCACCCCAAACACATCCTCCACACTTGGTGGAAAATACGTTCACACAAATCCCGTAGCAGACCAATGTGAAGAAACTCTAGATCCATCCCCCCGTCATTTCTCAAGTGATTCTTGTGTTTTCTGGCTCTGAGCGTATTCAGAGACGTAAGACACAATTCTGAATTAATGGGAAAATTTTGATCTCTCCCTTACCCGAGGAATAGAAACGTATTTCTATCACGGGATCTCTGATACTTGTCAGAAGTAGCAGAAAACTGTCGCCTATGTCCTTCCTAATTGGCATCCCATCATTCAGAATCATTTCTATCACCTCTTTAATCCAACTAATTCCATATGGAGTTATTCGTAAAGGCCACTATGCATGTGACATTTCGTCAGACAAGTCTATGTAGTTGACATTTGTTTTTCCTCTAGTTTTATTCTGCTGAACACTAACTGAAATGACTTGAACTCTGCACTTTCATAAGGCTTGTTTTGGGGGGCACATGCCCATCCCACGAATACCGGGAGCAGATAGTAAAAAGGGGCTAACCCAACGCCCAACTGAAGAGTGGTTCAATAGGATGGTATTCACCTGGAGGTTCTTTTTCTTTTTCTTTTTTAAAGATTTTATTTATTTATTTGACAGAGAGAGAGAGAGAGTGAGAGCAGGACCACAAGCAGGGGGAGTGGGAGAGAGGGATAAGCAGACTCCCTGCAGAGCAGGGAGCCCGATGCGGGGCTCGATCCCAGGATCCTGGGGTCATGACCTGAGCTGAAGGCAGACGCTTAACGACTGAGCCACCCAGGCGCCCCTCACCTGGAGGTTCTTCCACCATATCAACATTTCCTGGTTCACGTGCAGGCAATCCTCACCTCGATGGGACTCTCCACTGCCCCGGCCACGTGAACAGGGCAGGGCCCACTGTTAAAACAAACACCACCAGCAAAACAACACTTAGGGGTTAACATTCGGTAGCTGGAAGTATCTGACCGAGTCACGATCTCCCCGGGCTTCCGTCTGATCATCTGGGCAATGGGAGTCATATCACAGAGGGTCACCTTAAGGCTGGCCACAGAGGAAGTCACTCTTTAGTTTGGATTACGCCGTTACGAAAAGGATACACGTTTCAATGTTGGCCCCAACGATATAGCCAGTTACATCAAAGTTGATCCGAATAAACTTGCCCTGAAGATAAATCACAACAAGAAAATTAAAAGGACGGACGGACACAGAGGATATGAACAAATAAAGTGACAAACCAACGCGCCCTGCCAAGTATCCATGAGTTGGTTACAAAAATGGGTGTTAAATATTAACCTCAAATAGAAAGGGAAGGCAAAAGCCTCCGTAAATTCCCACAAAGCGGCAATAGGACAGGCTACCTTCCTGGGCTGTAACATAATAAAAATGAGACCCTAATCAATTAGAACTTTGAAAAAACTCTCCTACATAATCTGAGATAAGAGATTTCACAGCATTAAAGGAACACTGTATCCAGCCCCATATTGACAGGCTTGAGAAACGAAGTAGTACAGTTTCCTAGGAAAACAGAAATCCATTCAAGAAAAAAGGGAAAACTTGAATAGATCATAATCATTAAAAATGAAATATAATTACTTCTTCAAAAATGATGGATTGGTCTGATGAAACAGTTTTGCAAATTCCTAAGGAAAATTTAATGGCCCGACTACACATAACTTTTTTTTTTTACACATAACTGTTCTAAAGACATAGAAAATAGTGATTATTTCATAATTCATTTCATAAAGTTACCATAATACTGAATACCAAAACTGGTAAAGTGATTGTAAAAATGAGAAGGCAAAAATAAAAGCAAGTAGCTCACAAATTAAACCCTTTGCAAAACAAAGAAAACTGACGAATGGCAACAGATGGTTTATTCCACGACTTCAATGCTCGCTCATCATGCAGACAGTCAAGGGATTGGAAGGCTTTCCTTGGGGAAACGGACAAGCTGATTCCAAGATTTACAGGGAAATGGGAAGGACCTAAAAAAGTCACAACGATGTTGAGGAAGAGGAGCAGAGCCTCAAGGACTTGCACTACTAGATTTCAAAAAGCTCTAAGTTTATGAGAACAGGTTGGTATTGGTGGAAGGACAGAGATACAGATCAATGGATCAGAAGAGAGTCCAAAAATAGACCACACATCTACAGTCAATTCATCTTTCGACAAAAGGTGCCTGAATAATTTAATAGAGAAAGGACCAATCTTTCCAAAAAATGGTGCCTGAAAAATACGTAAAATGAAACCAAAAGAACCTAGACCCTTCCTCACACCATATAAAAAAGTTAACTCCGAAGAGATTAAACCTAGAAGCATGGGCTAAAACCATAAACTTCTAAAAAAAACAAACAAACAGGAGAAAATCCTTATGACCTTAAAGTAGAAAAAGTCTTCTTAGAATGTAAAGAGCATGAACCTTTAGAGTTTATCAACTAAAAATTGATAAACTGGATTTCATCAGAATCTAAAGCTTCTGTTCTTCAAAAGACACTGTAAAGACAATGAAAAGAGAAACCACAGACCAGCAGAGAATATCTGCAATATACCTACCTGGTGAAAGACTTATTCCCAGAATATATAAAAAAACAATTCCATAACAAGACAACCCAAGAAAAACATTGGGTAAAGTATCTAAACAGATTATCTCATCAAAGAAGATATGTAAACAGTCAATAGTATATGAAAGGACGCTCAATGTCATGAGTTATTAGAGAAATGCAAAATAAATGAGCATAAAGACATACAAGTACATACCTGCTAAAATGGCTAACATTCTGAAGAAAGACCAGCCATGAGACAGAACAGCTAGAACTCTCCTAAGACCCCGGTAAGAATATAAAGCAGACAGTCACTTTGGAGAAGTCTGCGGGTTTCGTATTAAGTGAAACGTAAGTTACCATATGCCCCAGCAATCTCACTCCTAGGTAGTCACCCAAGAGACACAAAAGCATGTGTCCACATCGAGACTTGCAGTGAATGTTCAAAGCCACTTTATTCGTAATGGTCTTCCAATGGAAACAACCCAAAACGTCCAGAGTGGTGAACGGATAAAGAAACTGTGGTATGGGGTGCCTGGGTGGCTCAGTCTTTAAGCGTCTGCCTTCGGCTCAGGTCATGATCCCAGGGTCCTGGGATCGAGCCCCGCATCGGGCTCCCTGCTCTGCGGGAAGCCTGCTTCTCCCTCTCCCACTCCCCCTGCTTGTGTTCCCTCTCTCGCTGTGTCTCTGTCAAATAAATAAATAAAATCTTAAAAAGAGAGAGAGAGGAAAGAAAGAAAGAAAAGAAAGAGAAAAAGAAAGAAAGAAAAAAAAAGAAAGAAAGAAAAGAAAGAAACTGGGGTATAATCACACGGTGGAATATTACGGAGCAATAAAAAGGAACAAGCCAGTGATACACCCAACAACATGGATGGATCCAAAAATAGCACGATGTTGTATGAAAGAAACTAGACATAAAACACCATGTATTATAGGATTCCATTTACCTGACATTGTAAAGAAAACAGACCACAGAGACAAAACAGATCAGTGGCTCCCAGGGCTGGGGAAGGAGGAGGGAACGGACAACATGAAGGCGAAAGGGAGGTTCCTGGAGGAAAGGAAATATTCTCTCTCCGGGCCACGGTGCTGGCCTCACTCTGATATGCATGCGTCTAACCCTGTCTAACTGTACGCTGAAAAGGGTGAATTTTATTGGATGTAAGATATAACTCAGCCTAATTTTTATAAATAATCAAGGGAGAGATCTCAGGACCCCTTAGATAAATGCCAATTAAAAAATATAATTAAATATCCGTTCCTTCTATTTACCATGAACAGATTACACGTTGGCCTACCCCCTCTACCAAGGTGTCCAGTCCGCTCCCCCAGCCTCTTACCCACTAGGCCCCTTCTTATGCCATTCCTACATTTACTGCATAAATATTTGTTTTAAGTACAAAAAATGAGTAGTCGGTATTGGGATGCCACCACAAATTTTGACATTATGTGGGAATTATGCTGCAGTAATGTTGACTTTTGAAACTGAAAACAAGGGAATAATTCACTAAAAATCAGTACTTCATTATATTTTTTGCTCAGTATTACGAGCACTCGTGAAGAACTCACCCAATTTTCCAATTTCGAAAATTGCACACCGAGCTAGGAAAACAAGGGAAAACGAGAATGCGCGTGGGGCTCTTGGGGGCGGGGGGGGATCTCTAATACGATCTGAAAACCCCACTCTGCCCAGGAGATGCATGGCTGGTAAGCACTTTACACAAATCCTACAACCATGGCCTTGAGAGCAAGGCTAACCTAATGCCCCCAAATAGAAGCAGACCCATGAGGCCCTGCCCTTTCGAGGCCTCGAGGACATCGTGTAGGGCACCTCCAAAGGACCGACAGGTGCTACGGGGACACAGAGGGAGACTCGGAGAAGCAGTACCATTTGAGCTGAGTGAACTTGCAGCTTATGTTCGTCTGCTTCCGGCTAAATGGTAACTAAAGGGAGGTTCTGTGCCTGTTTACTTTAAGCTCTTGGAAATAAAACCACAATGAACGGCAGGAGTCTGTGACACATCGCAATTGGATTTTGACCTCTCGGCCACAAGAAAAAGCACTCCATAATTTCCAAGCGATAGAACCTTCTGGCTGACGGCGACCCGAAGGGGCCCCTGGAGGCCCCTCTATGTTCCTCTGCCAAGAGGCTGTCTTCAAACGTTACGCGAAGAAACTCGTAGTCACGCTGCACACCCTTCGGATTTCCGCACAGGTCAGACGATTGAAGTCGTCAGAGTATCTGGAATCTACTTTCAAGCCCCGCAGCCTCAAGGGGATGCTCTGTACGTGTGTGAGTTCCCGCCACTACAAATCTCCACTCTGGGGGCAGCTTTGGCCCTAAATGGGAAAACCCATTCTGGGAGCAATGAGCTGGACTTAATCCGAGACCAGAGGGCGGTGTTCACCTCCAAACTATGCCAGAAGCTTCGCTCATTAGGAAAAGCAGGGTAAGTAAGTGTTCTCGTTACTTAGTAGAACGGATGTGAGGATTCCTGGGGTAACATGGACGGACTGGAAGGACACAGACACCCCCAGTCTGGTGTGAACAAGGTGCTAAGCCTCCAGAAAGGCCCGGAGGCCGTGGAGGCTGTCGGGAAGGCTGCCTCGGGCTCCACGCTGAATCGGCGCCACTGGTTTCCTGCACCAGGCCACACTCGGACATGGTCACATCTGCCCCCGCAGGTGTCTTCAGTGGGAGGGGGAGAGAACCAACGGGACTGAGCAGGGACTGCGTTCGATTTACCTACAAAACTGTTTTTAGTCTGCTTGTGAGGACACAGGACTCTGCTGGCCCCACTCTGGGGAGGCACCGGAGCCTTTACCAAGCTCTACTGAGGCTAAGTACCTACCAAAAGGCACCTAGCATTGGGGATTGTCTAAGTGGCTCAATTCCGTTTGGAGGGAAAATAAAAAAGATCTGCACAAATATAGAGAGTGACTCGTACCAAACCTTTCTGAGAGAAGATGTATCTGCTGATACAAGTCAGAAATTGAAGTCCCTGTTTTAAAAGTTTCATTACAAGAGATTCATTTGACATAAATCTCCTCCATCTGGAACGCGTTTGGCTTCTCCGTAAACAGAACGGGCCTAACTGTGAACGATTATTTTTATAAGGGTAATGCTCTCCTCAAAGAATCCCCCTTAACACAAGCCAGATGCTAGCATCTTTGAAAGAAAAGATATTCTTCAGGAAATGATTCGTCTATATCAGATCAAAGAAATGGAAACAAATGGATTCTAAAAGCTTGTGGAGTTTATGGTTTCGAATATTTTCACGGCAAGCCTGCGTCCTGCACGTAACGACTCCATGTGGCTCCACTGTATACGGGGTGTGCCTCTCAGCATCGCATTTCTCTTCCAGCACGACGTGGGACGCCAATCCCAGCCCCAAGCCCGGCCCGTCCAAACCTTCTGTTCCCAGAGGGCCTGGCCCACGCAATACTCCCCCTGAGCTCAACTGTATAATGAAGTAAGACCTGGGTGAAGGCAGGCTCCAGGAGGCTGGGGAACTCTTGCTGTGTAGGCAACCACACTGTAACATAAATATGCGCCTACTGTATACCCACGCGTGCGAGCCACAGTGCCACGAACTAAGGATCTGGAGAGCAGGGAAACAGGCCCGACTGGGAGAGACGTCACATACCAGGACAGGGGGGCGCTCACCCAGACTGTGAGGAAAGCCAAGAGGACACCGTGCAGAGAGCAACAGAGGAATGACCTCGGATAGGGCTTTGGACCAATCAGGTACTGAGGAGAGGCAGAAGGAGAACTGTAGACAGATCTGAAATGAGTTCCGGAAGCACGGCCGACAGGATTCGCTCCAGTCTGCACACGGGCCAAGAGGAGAGGCTGAGGCCAGGAGGAGTCCTACTTTATTTTTCTGGGCGTTTGTGGGTTTACTTTGTTTTACGCATACACAACTGGGTGATCTGCTGGGACCACGTCCTGACAGAAGACATAAGAACAGATTTCGAATAGAAAAGGTTCCGGTTGGAACATGTGAAATCTGAGAGCTCTATTAAGATATCCAAATGGAAAGACATGTGAATACCACAGTGCCTGGCAAAGGACAGGAGCCAAATAATTAACTGAAGGGCCCAACAGCAAAATCTAAATTCTAGAAGGTGTGATTGAAAGATGAGCCCACACCGGCTACCCTCGAACGCCAGAGAGACAAAGCGCTGGCCACGCCCACGGGGACTTGCCAAAGGGACGCCTGCAGCCGACTGAGCTCCTGTCCCCCAGAGCAACCAACTACTTTACCGTTTTTCATGGAACCACTAAAATCAACTACTCGCTGTGGCTTTGTGCATTTAATGCCTTAGGATGTGTTAGTAGCTAGCGACTGCTGTTTCTTTGAAAAAATCCTATATAGCGATATATAAAGTTGACTTTCTAAGAATTACAGCCCAGAGCCAACAATGTAAAGACACCTTTGTTTCGCCATTGAACGACTAGCTCTGGGTGAGACACTGCCTTAGTGAAAAATCGTCTTTTCTTAAAAAAGATTCGCTTTTAATAGGTTAGACTGAGTATACATCGAGATTATAATTAATCCAGGAGCACTATAATCCAGATTATAATCCAGATTATAATCCAGGCGCTTTGGGAGGTGGCTTCCAGCTGAAACTGGGTTTATCGAGGATTTAGATTAGATGGGTGATCCTTGCTGGAATCGATTCTGCTAGAAAACTAAGAAATTCGTCCTGCCAGTGGGACGTAACACAAGTTCCTACCAGAATTATTTATATCAACCTTGGGAATAGGATGCATAAACAATAAGCTTGAAGGAGACTCGTGTAAAGTAATTACTTCGCAAATAAATTTCAGGAAGTGATTACCTTGATTTAAGACTCCAATTTAGAGAAACAAGCTGGACCGGGGTTTCTCAACCTCGACATAACTGCCATTTTGGGCTGGATAATTCTTTTTTTTTTTTTTTTTTAAGATTTTTATTTTTATTTATTTGAGACAGAGAGAATGAGAGAGAGCATGAGAGGGAGGAGGGTCAGAGGGAGAAGCAGACTCCCCGCCGAGCAGGGAGCCCGATGCGGGACTCGATCCCGGGACTCCAGGATCATGACCTGAGCCGAAGGCAGTCGCTTAACCACCTGAGCCACCCAGGCGCCCTGGGCTGGATAATTCTTGGATGTTTAGCAGCATCCCTCGCCTCTACCCACTAGCTGTTGGAGGCCCACCACTACCCGTCACGCGAACCAAATAACCAAAAATGCCTCCGGACACTACCAAACATCCCCTGAGGGTCTCCAACTGAGAGCCACTGAGCTCCAGTAACGCAAATCACAGATCATAGCCTACATCCGTCAATATGGAACTCTCTCTTAACAATGTGTGGCAGCCAACTTCCAAGATGGCGCCAGGAATCCCCAACATCTGGTGTTGCCCTCATAGTGCATTTGTGCAGTCCCCTCCCCCACAGTGTATCAGGGCTGATCTGTGTGACCAGTAAAGTACATCAAAGGGTTGGTATGTGACTTCCAAGGTCATAAAGAACACCGTGTGGCTTCTGTCTTGCTCTCTTGGATCACCTGCTCTGGGGAAACACCAGCTGCCATGTCACGAGCGGGCATCTCTCCAGAGAGGCCTTTGAGGTGAGGAACCAAGAATTCCCACCAAAAGCTGCCCGAGTCAGCTCAGAAGAAGATCCTCCAGCCTCACCAAGCCTTCCGAGGACTGTAGCCCCAGCCGACACCACCTTAGCGACACCTTCATGAGAGGCCCTGAGTCAGAACCACCCATCACGCAGACGCACTGAGGTGACAGAGGTTTCAAGTCACTAGGCTTAGGGCAACTTGTTACATAGCAACAGGGAATCAATACGGAATTATACGTCCACCTGTCCCAAACACAAAATCGCTGGCAGGTAGATGGATCCTGACCACTAAGTAACTGACTCACTACCTTCTTCACCAAAGGACACAAAGGACTGGTTGGCAGCAATTTAACTTTGCCGGGCAAAGAGGAGACCATCACAAAATGGTTTCTCCTGAATTTCAAGTGTGGTTCGGGGCAGGGGGAACTGGAATAGACTGGTAACTTGATTTATGTGGTAAAACAGAACATTTTCCACTCAGAAGTCCTTGTAAACCTTCACGGAGATTCACATACCAAAGCTGGTAGCTCACTGTGTCTTCAATCCCATGACACAGCCACTAAACACAGGGCTTTCAGGGGCAAGAATTTAAGATTTAAAATGTGGCTCAGGCTCAATGCTGATGATTCAGGGGATGATAAAAACTCTACCAACAAAGTTTAGCGTCCCCAGTTCTTTTATAAACCCCAAAATCACGGCCACGCTTCGTCCTGACACAGGTGTACTTGTTGTCCCACTCTGTACGTAAAGAGCTAACGTAATTACCTAATGAACTTGGGTTAAATGAATCTTCAAAATTTATCTTACTAGGAATACGCAATATTCCAAACCAAGAGATCCCTATTTCGTGCATAACTTGGAGAACCTCTTGTACCTTAAACTACCTCTGAGGGTGCCATGGGCCGAGTCATGTCCCACCCCAAATTCTTATGTCAAAGTCCTAAGCCCCAGTGTCTCAGAACATGACTATATTTGGAGACACGGTCTTTAGAAAGATAATTAAGTTAAAACGAGGTCACTAGGGCCCTAGTCCCACATGACTGGTGTCCTTTCAAGAAGAGAAGAGGACACAGGCGCACGCAGAGGGAGACCCATGTGGCAGTCTACAAGCCAAGGAGAGAGGCCACAGAAGAAACCAACCCTGCCGCAACCTTGGTCTTGGGCTTCCAGCCTCCAAGAGTGAGAAAATCAAGCTCTACTGTTTAGGGCCCCCAGTTTGGGGTGCTCTTTATAGCGGCCCTGGCAGACTCAGAGAGAGGGTTATCTGGCTACCTTTGGGTTCACCGGGTCCTCTGTGAGCCCGTATCTGGTAACTTCCAGTAATCACCCATTCTGTGCGGTCACAAAGTCAATGTGAACGCCATGACTTTACATTCTCAGAGGAAAACCGTACGGCCCAATGGTACTAGATTCCCCCAAAACTACCCATCAAGGAGTCATCAGAACGGAAGTGTCTCATCTTCTACAAATACTTCTAATATCAGGAGGGAGGAAAAACAGAGAATTAACTCTCAACGATTTAAGCAGAAATAACTGAAATCGAAGACCCTCTCCAATCTCACTGTGCAAACAGTTATTGAATCTGGAGGACTATAATCCAGGGCGAAAGATGGACGGTGGGGCGGGCCCCATTTCGCTGCATATGGTTCTAGAGCAGATCTGCCACCGACGTGTCGACGAGTTGCCGGACGGGGAGCGCAGGGTTCCTGCAAGAAGGCCCATCTGGCCAACACCTAGGAGGACAGCCTCAGGCACTCTGGGATAGATGGTCCAACGGACGGAGAGAGGGAAGCTCTCCAGAACTAACAAAGCCCAATAGCTGAGAAGAATTTTTACAGAGAAGGCACAGTACTGACCCATTATTCTGACGTCCGTATCCTGGAGAAACAGGGAGTATCAACAGGACAAGTGACTACATTGAATACCAGCTGTTTGTGGAGCACGGACACTCCCAGTGGTGCTGGGTGCTAAGTCCTCCACGTGCATCTCACTTCATCGCCACGCTGGGCCCGCAACAAGTATTACAGATCAGCCCTGAAGACGAAGTCATCTACCCGCACAGTATAATTATATACGTAACTACACCACTACAATCACTTTCCCATTTTTTTTCCTTTTTAAAAATGCAACTACGAGAAAATTTAAAATTACATGAGACTCATCACGTTTCTACTGCTCTATCCTACATCTACTAGCCTCTCCCTAAAATCCAGGAAGAGAAGTATTCTGGCTGCTTAATCACACTAGACATTTAACTAGACATCAGAGAAATGAAAAGTTTCTGGTGCTTTCAAACTTACGAAGCGAGATGAATTATCATTTTTCACAGTCTTCGCATTTCCAAATGATTCCAGAATTGGATTTGCTTGCAAAAGCTGCCGTTCAAGTTCCCCCTAAAAGACATTACACATACGCACATACACACACACACACAAAGCAGATGTACGTTAATCTCATGTCTTTACTCCAGTCCTCGGGGGGAAAATACAAAACAAAAACTCGTCCTCTTTTCCTCCGTGTTTTCATTTTGTGTGCCACCCCGTAACCTTCTTGGCTTTATTCTTGGTCCCATGAGGCTCTGCTAAAGGAAAACAATTAGCGTTTATAAAGTGATCAGGAGAAGGAAAGGTCACATTGGTCACAGGAGAGAACTCTGAGGGCAGGGCACATAATCTAGGTGGAGAATTTTGAAAATAAAATGAATGGGTTTTCATGAAATGAAATCTAGCAGGATGCTGCGATGAAGAACATATTAATACTTACTCTTCTGTTTATTTCTACTCTGTTCCAGTGAGTTCAGGCAGCCAATCCTAATTATAACCACTAGGAGCACCTGGGTGGCTCAGTGGGTTAAGCGTCTGCCTTCGGCTCAGGTCATGATCCCAAGGTCCTGGGATCGAGTCCCGCATTGGGCTCCTTGCTCAGCGGGGAGCCTGCTTTTCCCTCTGCCTGCCGCTCCCTCCGCTCTCTCTCTCTCAAATAAATAAGTAAAATCTTTAAAAAAAAACAATAACCTCGAGACCGTTGGAAGACGTGTCATTTTTCCAAGGGCTTCACCCAGTATCTTAATGAGGCAGACAGAGCAACATCCTCACCTCCACTTTCAGAAGGGACAGAGATGGGGGCATGCTGCTGCGGACTTCTGCTCAGATTTGAAAGGCTAAGTAGAGAGTCTGTGATAGACTCTATGCTTGACCCTGTGTCTTTAAATCATGTGCAAATTCGGCTACACGACAGATTTTTACAAACAAAAGATGTAAGAATATTAATATGTGCCTTGATGATGACACGTGATAGGAAGCTGTAGGAGAAGCCTGATGCTAGTTCTGGCCACAAAAAAGCACGAGAAAGTGACGCTGTGTTCCCGGAATGTCATGTTAGAATTATACTGTCGGGCTTAGAGAAATCTGCGTTTTGCAAACACAGATCTTACCCCTGTGTTTTAAGATACCACAGTATTCTAGACCTGAAGAAAGGATTACAAACCACTAGCAAATATAATTCTCTGAGCAAAAGAGGGATAAAAAGACCTTCCTTTGAGATTCTTTTTTTTTTTTTTTTTTAAAGATTTTATTTATTTATTTGACAGAGAGAGGGACAGCGAGAGAGGGAACACAAGCAGGGACAGTGGGAGAGAGAGAAACAGGCTTCCCGCCAAGCAGGGAGCCCGATGAGGGTCTCGATCCCAGGACCCTGGGATCATGACCTGAGCCGAAGGCAGACACTCAACAAACTGAGCCACCCAGGCGCCCCACTCCCCAGATTTCTTAAACATGATCTCCTGGTAACCAATTTTAACAACTGAGAGGCATCATTAAAGAATGGTAGTTATCAGGGCATCTGACTTTAGCTCAGGTCATGATCCTGGGGTCCTGGGATCAAGCCCTGCATTGGGCTCCCTTGGTTCAGTGGGGAGCCTGCTTAAGTTTCTCTCCCTCTCCCTCTCCCTCTGTCCCCTGCCCCCCACAGTCCCTCTCTCTCCCTCTCTCAAATTAAATAAAATCTTAAAAAAAAAAAAAAAAAAAGAACGTCAGTTATCGTTCTGTACTAACGGAGGGCCTTGCCCCCGGAGATCAGCACTCGCCCCCATCAGTGTGCCCATGACCAACACCTTACAAAGCCCTTGGTGTCTAGCTCTGCAAAAATTGGGCTCTAGAATTCTTCTTACCTCACTCAGTCTGTGTGATCAGAATGCAGAACCTGTCAGAAAAACACTGAATTTTCATAAATGGGGCATTACCTTTACACTAAACATCAACTGTTAGATCAAGGAACTAGAATGTAGAGTCCTTAAAATTACACACCATCATCCTGTCCCATCACAATAAAAATACTTGAATACTTTACCTTTCAAATGTTTTCCTAACTTGCAGATAAAATGTGTGTTGCGCAACCCACTTTAATATTCCCTAGGTGTGGCTACAAGGATTCTTTGCTCCTTTAAGTGTACATGGGTGTGCTTATGTGTGTGATCTCGGATTTTATTCTTTCTTCTGCCCGCTTGGAATAACTGGTTGTACCCCCTGGACCTGGCTCAGTCAGTGTGAGGTCAGAAGGATGCCCCGTGTCTGCTGAAGGAATGTACAATCAGGGGTCCCCAAACGTGCTAGTAGTGCTTGGGGAGGGGTTGGTGGTGAGTCAAAGGCAGCAGTAGGTATTGGGCGAAGGGCCCTCGCTGTCACCATGGGACCTGCCGACTGGGGCACTCCCAGGCCTCTGCTGTCGGGTCACTACGTTAACAGGGTCGTGTATTACTTTCCTCCTAATGGACTGGTGGCATCATGGAGACCAAGTAAGGATCTCAGTAACTCAGAAACGAATCACAAAAAGCTGGACACAAAGCCAACATCAGAAAACACACAGAAAGGGGCGCCTGGGTGGCTCAGTCGGTTAAGCGTCTGCCTTCGGCTCAGGTCATGATCCCAGAGTCCTGGTGGCTCAGTCTTTGTCTGCCTTTGGCTCAGGTCATGATCTCAGCGTCCTGGGATCGAGCCCCGCATCGGGCTCCCTGCTCAGCGGGAAGCCTGCTTCTCCCTCTCCCACTCCCCCTGCTTGTGTTCCCTGTCTCGCTGTGTCTCTCTCTCTGTCAAATAAATAAATAAAATCTTAAAACACACACACACACAAAAAGGGTCTTAAATGAAGAAATTACCATGAAATTTGACCATTTTGGTGTTGTACAATTTCTCATTTTGACTGAACAGCGCTAACATCACTCAACCAAATTACGAAGCCATTTATAAACCCTCAGGGGACAGTGACTAAGCGCTAACCTTTCCACTAGAATCAGATAGGCGATGTCCCCTGTTTCTATTCTATAGGACAACAAGAAATGTCTTTTGGGAAAGTGGCGGGGGGGGGAATTAGCATTAGGTATTGAAATTATTTTTAACATTCTAAGTATTTAAAATTATATGATGCTTTAAAGGATTACCAATCACGATGAAAACCATATCCTTGTGTTTACTGTATAGTATATTAATATACACTTGCTATAATATGATAGATGTAAGAGGAGTTTGAAATTGGTAAACCTCCAGTTCAGCCAGCAATGGGACGTGGGCTGGGATCGTCTGGGCTTTGCAGGCCTGGCTGGGTAGAGCTGCAGGTGTCCCCACTGCCCACAAGAGGGCTGAAAATCAGTGGCAGCCACTCATCCACCGTACTGAGAACCAGACTTAATCTCCACTGGCAGGCCCTCTTTTCTGTACTTGCTACTTGCGATCTGTCACCAGCCTGTCTTAGTTCAAGGTGGTTTAGACCAGTAGATAGGAAGCCATCCCGAAGCTGCCATCCAGATGTGGATGAGTCAAAAGTGGGTTGGGCTGGTGGGCTGGCCTGAAGGAGAGTCATTCTTAGAGGAAGGTCACGTTTTAGAAATCAGCTGTTTGCAGATCTGCTCTGAACTTGGCCTGGGTTCAGACTCTCGAGTGGCCCTGGACTCTGCCAGATTTCGAGGTCCGTAACAGCAATCTACGGTGAGGGAGCGGGTCACCCAAACCACTTCCAGGAGCCTGGGGGACAAAGCCAAGTAAGACTTAGCTCCGTTAGAAGGAGTACGCCATATGTTTACAGGTCAGTGCTTACCATTTACTGCTTAAATACTGTGACCTTCACCTTGAAAACTGATTTATATTTGTTTGTATTTCCATAATGAGGAGTAAGTTTTAAAGGCAAGCACAAAGTCCTGCGGGAATGGCTCAAATAGAACAAGGAGGACAAACATGGCCACGAGATGGGGAAATTGGCATCCTCGTAAATTTCGGGGGGGGGGGAGGGCGTGCAGAATGGCACCGTCGCTCTGAAAATCGGTGGGGTGGGCCCTCAAAATGTGAAACAGAACACTACCCCGCCCCAGCAATGCCACTCCCAGGCACACACCCCGGAGAGTGGGAAACACAGGTCCACACAGACACTTGTACATAACTGTTCACTGAGGCATTATTCAAAGTGGCCCCCAACTGGAAACAATCCAAATGCCTATCAGCTGATGAATGGATAAACGAAACGTGGCCGATTTAATAGATTTAGTAGAACGGAGTACCATTCGGCCAGGGAAAGGAATGGAATAATTATACACGCCATGCCACGGATAAACCGTGCAAACATCATGCTGAGGGGAAGAACGGTCTAGACAGCCACATTCTCTAGGGTTCCATTCATAGAAAATATGCACAATGGGCAAATTCGTAGAGACAGAAAATAGATGAATGGTTTCCGGAGGCTGGAGGGACGTGGAAGGGGATGCCTAATGGGTTTCTTTTTGGGGTGATGAGAAGGTCCTCAAGTTTACCGCAGGGATGACTGCGTAACTCAATGTACTAAAAACAACGATGCTGGACTGTAGGAATGCGTGAATTTGATGGCATGTGAATTAAACCTTAATAAAGCTGTTTAAAAAAAAAAAAAAAGAAGGAGCAAAGAAACAAAGGAGCCTAGAAATGCCTCCCCCATTGTCCTGATGCTTCATGTGGCCGTCTGGTGACAAAACGCCAGAAATGTATCCAAATGGTTCCTGGGACCTTGAGCGAGTTTTGCCCATAGAGTTCAATGTAAATTCACAACCCGGGGATGTGAAACCAAAGGAAGCACTGTGCCGAGTACAGACTTGCGACATAACAACTGCCTTATGGAGGTCCTTCTCAGAATGGGGTGAGGGAGTCCCCGGGAACGGGGAGGAAGTGTGGGCAGACACGGAATTTCTCAGCATGACCCCCTCCGGGGTCACTACCACTCAGGGGTACCTCCTATTCTTCAAGCGGGCTGGGGAAGCAAAGTTGAGAACAGGTGCTCTTCTCAGGTTTCTAGAAACACAAGCACAGCTAGTGCTAGACTAGACGACTGTGAAAAGAAACGTGGGGAAAAGCAGCACCAAAGCTTCTGGGCCGTGACTTCATGCAGCAAGACATGCACACCGACAACACAGGGAAGCGCGGCAGAGGAGGTGCGGGAAAACCCGCTCCCCAGGGACTCCTGCGACCCAAAGACCCAAAGGAAAACCTCGGGGTCGGCATGCGACTCACACACAACGGGGATCCACGCTGTAGTTTAAAATGACATCGAAACAAAATGTTAGTGGTAACGATGTACGTAATTCCACATCGTGGATTTGGAAAACCCAAATCTGTCAATTATTTCACACCGTTTCACGAGTGACCTGAGTACACATTAAAAGGTCATTTTAGCATGCACCTCTAGGGCACAAAGAAGAGCTAATTTCTGGGCTAGGGGTTCCTTCTGTAATTGGCCAAAAAGCCTCTAAGCATTCTCTCGGATAACAATTATTTCATTAACCTTTCCAATTTGGATGAGTGATCTGCTCTAGAGCTAAAGGAACAAAAGAACATCACAGGCCCTCATAGGTAGAGGACGGCTCTGCTGTCCGACAACTTAAGAATTTTAAGAAAGATACCTGAAAAATCTTGGTATCTAGGACTATTCTTGTAGATACTTATGATCATTTCTTTATATTAATAAATATAAGTATATATAAATGTATTCGCTCGAAATCACTGCACTTGTGGGAGACAGACTGAAACCATTCCAGTGCCGGGGAAAGGGTTAAGTGCAGGACAGACGTCCCTTTCTGTCTGAGGCATCTGGCCTGGTGCTGCCCTTCCTCTCTTCCTGGGTAGCAGGAAATGCTCTGGCCGGTGAGCTGTCCGTGGCTATGCTCTGGGGAGCCAGTAGGGGGGGCATTCTCCAATCAGGAAGAAAATTCCTCCACTACCTGCCCTGGATAAAGAAAATGCTAACTTTATATATTAAATCATTAAGGCCTTTAAGGCCCAAACACATACGGGCCATAAAACATTAACAGATTAGAAATGTGTTAACCCAAAAGGTACTTTTCGAGTTACAGCCCCAGACTCAAAATTTAACGTCCGGCACAAAGCTGGCCTTCTGTGTATTTAAGGGGAATCGAAGTAATTCCACCTGCTCTTTGACATTCGAAACCCCGAGGGTTCAGGCTTCATAAACATGTGATTCAATGTCATGATAAAAGGGTAAATAAATATTAAAACTCATCTAGAAAACAAATTTAAAGCAAGAGGGCATGCTGCTTGCAAAAGAATACATCTCTAAGCGACATATTTCCAAAATTAAGTTTCCACGAGGGATGTCACTCAGGACTGACTGTATTTGCTTCTAACAGAGACTCAGTCTAGAGACAGAAATTAGTGCGAGCATTCAAGACTAAGAAGCATAAAGAAAAGCACTTGCCTGATGTTTCACTGGTTTAGGCGATTCCTGCTGTTTGTTACAAACAGATAAACGCAAACGTTAGCCAGTTTGGGTCTTTCCCTGAGCAGGGAGCCCCATCCAAAGCACCAGGTCAATGTGCAGCTCAGAACCGTGAAAGCAGGTGTGGCTGGGTCATCTACCACTCCCACTCCTGCAGACCTACAGATTAAGGATAACGGACTCTCCTGTTCTTATCATCATCAACGGTCCCCAAATGTCTATCCCCACCGCAAGCTGTGGTCCGCTTTCAGGAAGAACCGCTAAAGATACTCGAAGACCTTCCTTCGGTGGAAATAAGAATTCTTCATAATCACTGCTTATCAGTCGTTAACAGTTCTTCCCGAAGCTTTGCGAGGAATTAGGCTTCAAGCTATAACCGTTAATTCCAGTTGGCCTGTGCGAATACCTAGTTAATAGCAATTTCCTGGTCAACTTGCTCCCTCCTGAGCGGAGGAATTTTCTGGGTGGGGGTGGGAGCAGACAAGGGAGCTGTGAGTTCCAGCAGTATGCTGTGCTTCCTGATGCTTGTTTCTGAAATTACAAAAGAATGAGCCTGAGACGTAAACAAACAACAGAAGGAAAACTTACAGGAATATTATGGTCCTTCCGTCCTTTATGCGAAGAAGCAACGTGAGCAAGGTACTGAATGACTTTCTTAGTATTTTCTGTCTTCCCAGCACCCGATTCACCCCTGAAAGAGACAGTAGCACAGGACACCTTGAAGAAAGCAGAGCACACACATTCCCAAATTACAACGGACAAAATTAAATGGAGTTGGGACAAGACTTGGTAGAAAGTAAGAGGAGTGTAAGTAGGGAAAAAAACCTACCAGCAGAAGTTAGAAAATTATTTTTTTTAAATGGTATTAAATTAACCCTAACTTCCCCCCCCCCCCCCGAAGATGCCAGTAAGACACAGGATAGGGTTCACAACACTAACGCTGTTTTTTCTTGGAGTTTGGGGGTTCCACCAGAGAGGTGACGTTTATTATAAAAGTTCATGAAAACGATTCCCCGGCTCCAGAAACCCAGCCAAAAGTGGAAACAGGACTCCCGAAAGAGTGAAGATGATTGAATCTGAAGATGCTAAAAGGACTCTGGGATGCCCACTGATGCTCAACTTCAAGTCCAGGCAAGGTTTTCTCAGCACATCCCCCCCAAACCAGCTGACAATTGTTCGTTCCCCCACGCTACCGACACGGAAACTTGTACACACCTCATCAAACCTCCTCCCGCGGACTGCTGGCTTCACATCCCAGCCTCCCCGAGGCAGGGAGCAGGACCCTGTGCAAGTGTTTACTGTGATTTGTGTTTGAGTTTATTGTGCATTTGTGTTTGTGTTTACTGTCCATTTGTGTTTGAGTTTATAGTGCATTTGTGTTCGTTTGAGTTTACAGTGCATTTGTGTTTGTTTGAGTTTACAGTGCATTTGTGTTTGAGTTTATTGTGCATTTGTATCTGTGTTTACTGTGCATTTGTGTTTATTTGAGTTTACTGTGCATTTGTGTTTATTTGAGTTTACTGTGCATTTGTGTTTGTTTGTGTCGGCTTCTTTCTAATCCATGTAACCTTGTGCAGCGTCGACAGGAAGCCAGTATGCAATTTGTAGAGAAAAGGAACACTATGACTTTTGTTATGAACTGGGACAAATGCCGCTGCTTTATATGTTTTATGTTTAAAAACAAGGCTGGCACATTTCAAAGGCTGCTTTTTATTTCTACTCAAGGACTGATCTTGAAATTCAGGTAAGCTGCTAGGCACAGGGATACCGAAGTTATGGCCTTTCTGTTCAAATGCTTAAGGCGCCCTAAGATCTGATAAAAGCGAACCTATCCTCACAATTGAGAAAAATCTCAATTTGGAATAAAAGAAAAACGTTAATATCTCATTAGGTATTTCATTAAAAAAAAAAGCCCCAGAAAAAAAACCACATAAACAAAAAACCCTAGAAAACAGAAGAAAAGCACCAGAAACCCAAAAATATTACTATACACGTGGCTGGCTAATAATCCTCTTAAGTTTGTTTTATCAAAGGCTTGAAAGTCTAATTTTTCTAGTAAGCTCTGACCCTTCCTTGGAAGTATACTCAGAATTGTACTATGAACTGGCCACAACCTAAATTTTTCAGGTTTACTGCTTCCATTATCTTAATTCTCTGCACCCAGATACCTACAATGTCAACTGCAGAGGGTTTGGGTCCCCTTGTGTGTTTTACCATCTAGAAATTTTGAATCGTAGGTACTCAAATAGACCAAATTTTCTTTTAAGGGTTTTCTGTCTACTGTTTGTGCTTAAAAAGGCCTTTCCTGCACCAAGATTATATCCATCTATGTTCTCATTTTTATAACATCTATTATTATTAAATCCATCTGTATTTTCTTCCAGAACTTTGATGGTTTCATTTCTTACAATGAAATCTTTAATCCATCAAAAACTTATAGTTTGGCATAAAAATATCATCTAATTTTGTCCCCAAATGATTCAGCCCACATCCTAGTATCAGTGGTTGACAAGGACGCTTATTATCCTGTGATCTGAAATATTATCTTATATTTACTTCTTATACATACAGCTTATTCTAAGGCCAGAACCATATTGCAATAGTTTTGAACTATAACTAACCAGAGGGGCGCCTGGGTGGCTCAATTGTTAAGCGTCTGCCTTCAGCTCAGGTCATGATCCCAGGGTCCTGGGATCGAGCCCCACATCGAGCTCCCTGCTCCGCGGGAAGTCTGTTTCTCCCTCTCCCACTCCCCTTGCTTGTGTACCTGCTCTCGCTATCTCTCTTTGTCAAATAAATAAATAAAATCTAAAACAAACAACAAAAAAGAACCAAAGCACCCAGCATTGTTCTTTAAACAAACCAAAAAAACAAGCAGTCTCTGAAGTTTATTTTTGCAGATAAACTTCAAATAATTTTGTTCTGCTATGCCTCCCCCATCTCTTGCCCCACAAATAAAAAAACAAGAGGGCGCCTGGGTGGCTCAGTTGGTTAAGTGACTGCCTTCAGCTCAGGTCATGATCCTGGAGTCCCGGGATCGAGTCCCATATCGGGCTCCTTGCTCAGCAGGGGATCTACTTCTCCCTCTGACCCTCCCCCCTCTCATGTGCTCTCTCTCTCTCATTCTCTCTCTCAAATAAATAAAATCTTTAAAAAAATAAATAAATAAAATAAATAAAAAAACAAGAGGTGGCGTTCTGGAGTAATATTAATATGCATTTTTTTTTTTTTAAGGAGAGACGAGGTCTTCATCTCTATCTCTTGGGTAAATTTTGTGTTTTCTATGTTCACAATAAGCGAGGACCATGTTTGTCTTTGAAATCCTAGTGCCCAGCACAGTAGGGGCTGAATAAATGAATACAGGTCCTGTACATGTTTTGTTTTGAAAGATTTTAGTTTATTTATTTATTCATGAGAGACAGAGAGAGAGAGAGAGGCAGAGGGAGAAGCAGGCTCCCAAGGAGCAGAGAGCCCGATGCCTGACTCGATCCCAGGACCCTGGGATCATGACCTGAGCCGAAGGCAGACGTTTAACTATCTGAGCCACCCAGGCGCCCCTGCACATGTTTTATTAAATTTATTCCTAGGCTCTTTTTTATATTTTTTATTCCTGCTATAAACGTCCTCATATTTTCTACCTGGCCCCCACTGCCGCTGGGATAAGGTAGTTATTGCATTCACTCAACAAATACTTAAAAATCAACCACAGAGTGTTGGTCATTCTCCTGAGTACAAGAGCCAGAGGGTGAACCTTTGTCTCCATCCTTGCTCAAGTTCAGGAGAAAAGAGAGAAGATAAGCCACAAAAAAACAAACAAGAGAATGCAGGATGTGAGGAAGGCCTTTAAGGCAAGGAGGTGGGGGTGGGGGGTGGGGGGTGGGAGGAAGAGAGGAGCAGAGGACACCTCCCTGGAGACACAATGGTTTGGGGAGAGCCTCTGGAAAAGGGAGAGCGGGCTAGTGAAATCGGGGGCACCACGATCAGGAGGATGGAGCCGAACGCAAAGGTCTTTGCCAGGGACCAGGGCGCAGGTGCAGATGTGGGATGCAAGGCAAACCACCAGCGAGGGAGAGAGCTGCAGGGGCTCCTAGTGGCAGCAGGAAGCTCCCCGAGTCCCTGGGAGAGAATCCAGATTTTATTCCAGCGTAATTTCTCAAGAGCTAGGATGGTGGTTTTTCTCCGTTTTGTTCACTTTATTCAAAATACTCAGTGTTTCAAGGCTAATCACGATGTTGGCGGTTGGCTTCAAACAAATAATTTTTCTGTTATGCGGAGAAATGAGCCTCTCATTTAGACTGATGATGACTTGCCTCGAAAGCAGTTCTGATTGTTCCCTTTCTGCTTAGTTGTGCCTCTGCGGTTTCTCCACTAAAACACTTCAGTGCGTCCTTCATGCGTCTTTCTGCCTCCCTGTCACACTCCCCGGGTGCTACTTCAACAATGCTTATAATCTCGGCTACATTTCTGTATGTTTCAGGTCTAAGGGGACTTGGACACAGAAGACACTGCTTCGAAGACAGGTATTACGAGCGGGCTCCCGAGAGAGGAGATGGGGAGCTGCATATCCCCCGTCTTATATATTTTTTTAAAGATTTTATTTATTTATCTGAGACAGAGAGAATGAGAGAGACAGAGAGCACATGAGAGGGGGGAGGGTCAGAGGGAGAAGCAGGCTCCCCGCCGAGCAGGGAGCCCGATGCGGGACTCGATCCAGGGACTCCAGGATCACGACCTGAGCCGAAGGCAGTCGCCCAACCGACTGAGCCACCCAGGCGCCCCCCCCCTTTTTTTTTTTAAAGATTTTATTTATTTATTTGAGAGAGAGAGAATGAGAGACAGAGAGCATGAGAGGGAGGAGGGTCAGAGGGAGAAGCAGACTCCCTGCCAAGCAGGGAGCCCGATGCGGGACTCGATCCCGGGACTCCAGGATCATGACCTGAGCCGAAGGCAGTTGCTTAACCAACTGAGCCACCCAGGCGCCCAGTATCCCCCGTCTTAAAACGTGGACGGTAGCTGCTAACGCAGAAGACTGCGGTGAAGAAAGAACATGGGCCACCTGAGGCACATCACCAGCATCCAGTGAACATCACCCATTACTGTCCACTCAACTGCTCCCCCACCGCTCAGGGGATAAGTAATTTGGGTTACTGAGCCCCGAATTACTTTACGCATCTATAGCGTTTGCGTCAATGGTTAAGAATGTGGGTTATGGTGTCAAGATGACCTGCCCACATTGAAATCCTGTCCACCGCTTTCTAGCTCTGGGGCTTTGGGCGAGTGACTCAGCTCTCTGGGCTTCAGTTTATACTCTCTTCAATGAGAGACTAAGGAATTCAGAGGCCCAGGAGCACACACATAAGATGCCTAGCACTGCCCTCGGCCAAAAGGCTCTCGGTAAATGACAATAGGGCTAGTAAGTAGGTATGATGAGGATGAAGGTATTAACAGAAGTAAAAAAAAAACAAAAACCAAAAAACAGATAATCCCCAATGTGTATATGAAAGAGGCGGCAGGATCAAAGGCATAGAATTAGAGTTCTTGGAAACAATTTTTAAAAAAGGAAATGGCACATCCGTCCCAGACAGAGGCAGAGAAATAAAAGCAGCTAGGACAGAAGTAAAGACTCGAGGGAGCCAAATGGAAAGCTCAACAGAGATCTCCCTGAGAAAATCAGTTAGGAGAATCCTCAGA